GTGTGATGTTTTGAATCCAAAAAAAAAAAAAAAAAAAAAATAAATTTGTGTGATGTTTTGTTTAATTTATTTAATTTGTCTCTATATGTATATATAAATCTAGATTTCGATATTTTTTTCACCGTTCTCTTGCTAAATCAAAATAGCTCTACTAAAGTCTCAAACATTACACCTAGTGACCCAACACATTTATCATACATATGCACATTATTATATCTAAAAAAATATCATGCAAACAAGTATAAGACATAAACGCCACAATAATAATTCTTCAAAAAGAACTAATCATACCGCGTGTTGGAATCCCTAAGTAATAATAGAATAATAAATATACACTCGTTTAACCATCCATACTTATATTTCATACATTAGACACTTTATTGAGGACCTAAATTGCAGATTTTATGAGAGAAAGAAATTAAGAACTGAATTGAAAATAATATGAAGATAACAAACCCTTATTATAACATTTTAACACAACTGGAACTTCTATTGATCTGAGGAGTACCAATTTGGCAAAGAATCCTATTTTTACACCAATCAAACAATTCAACCTTGATAAATAACGTCGTCGACGATTGCCACCGGTGGTCCGGTGCGACCGATTTGATATTGCATCTGAGATCCGACATTGCAACACCCTTTTGATGAACAACAGTGTACTTACAGGTCCATCTCTTACTATACTATATTCATAGATTGAAAGTATAAAAGTATACTGCACTTGTTTGGCGCTAACTCTGATTGAAACCTTTGTCCCCCTTAAATCAACCTTTTTCTTTCTCATCTTATTAGTCCTCCAAATTAATCCTTTTATACCCCACCAAAATCATAACAAAGCTAAGCAAGCTGTAAAGTTACTATGAATAACTAAAGCATAATTTCATTTTCCACAAATTAAAATTTCCTAACAATATAAAAGTAAACCAGTTTATATATATAAACATGATTATATATTTATTGATTAATGTTTCAGACAATCCCACCATTGCTGTCTATAGTAACTCATGATATTAAACATAAAAAATAGAATTTCATTAAGATTTTATTGAGTATATAGTGATTAAACACAAGCCTATATTCACACCAAAAAAAAAAAAAAAATAAAAAAAAAATAAAAAAAAAAAATATATATATATATATATATAGTAACTCATAAAATAAAATTTAAAAAAAAAAAAAAAGAATTTCATGTAGATTTTATATAGTGATTAAACACAAGCCTATTTTCACACAAAAAAAAAAAAAAGAAAAAAAATATCACTAGCTCTAGCTTCTTCTAGCTTTTTCATTGTTGATTTAATTAAAAAAAATGCCAACAATTTCCCCTGAAAATCACCAAGAAAAAGAAACAAACACCTTCGATTTTCGAGCCCCGCCGCCATCCCCAATCGGCTCGAGCCGCCGTGCTTCCTCCGTGGCGAACGATGAGGTCTTAACAGAGTTCCTTGAGCACAGCCTTCGGGTCCCGGACCTTATCCTCCCTGATCGAATCTTCCCAAGACAAAAGCCATTCAGGGATATTCTAGATATTGATTTTCAGGCATTGAATTCTGCGAAAGATGATTTAGTTTTGAAGATCCGAGATTCTTTGTCGGAAACTGGGTGTTTTCAGGTGATCAATCATGGGATTTCGCCGGAGTTGATAAAGACGGCGGTTAGGCGGGCGGGACGGGTGTTTAGAATGTCACCGGAGAAGAAGAGAATGGCGGTGAGATCGACGGAGATGGAGTTCGGGTTTGAGGATCAAGTGAGTGGGGAGCAAGAAGAGGTTGTGAATGAGATGGGTGAGGAATTTGTTTGGGGCATGGGATTTGGTTTTAAGTTAAATATGGAGGGAATTTGGCCAAATAAGTTTTCAAAATTCAGGTATTTAACGGTCAGTGTATTTTTTTTTTCATTCTTTGTTTTTTCTGTTTTCAAGTTTATTTATTTATTTTTTGATAATTCAAGTTGTTTATTTTATTTATTTAACAATTTATGTCAACAATGACAAAATTAATGACATTAAGAGACAAAAGAAATTAAAATCACCACTGTTAGATAATTGAACATGAATACGACGTCAAAAAAAATATTGTACATAAATTTGACAAATCAAGTTTTCATTTAGTCACAAATTTCAGAAATTGAGGTTCTCAATAGTTGAGATCATTTAAGGTTAATAATTTCATACTCCCTCCGTTTTTTTTACTTGACCCACTTTGACTTTTACACTATTCACCACTCCTCCTTTGACCGGGTTTTGTGAATAATATTTAAAGAAAAACATATTCATGTAAGATATTTTAAAATTCGTCTCAACAAGTACTATCATAAATATTACTTTTATAATTTTTACTTATCGAGAATTAAAGTTATTGATCGTTATATTTTTATATCGGCAATTGTGATAAAAGAAAAAGGTCAAGTAAAAAAGAACAGAGGAAGTATAGTATAGGAATGAGATTGTTTAGTTATAAATATTTAAGCACTACAAAGTACAATAGTTGAATACTACAAATTGCTAATTTTTGAAAAGAAAATTAAGAAAATTGTACTTAATACGTAGTAGTATATAATATATTATTTTGTTACTCTATACATTACATTATAATATCTAGAATGATCGTCATTGTATTTAACATACGCTACTAAATCATTAAAATAATTACTGAAGCAATAATGAGTTTTCATGCAATATTGAAATCAAAGTCACTAGACATGATTCATATGATATAGATCCACTAATTACATTGTGTTTGTGTATGTGCACGCGTGGGGTGAAATCCCCTCCCCCCCCCCCCTTCCTATATAATCAGCACATATTTATTATTGTACTACTCGTAAACTTGAAATTTTAAAGTAAAAATCCAAATTGTAAATGAATATTTGCATAATTATAGATTAAAACTCGTTTCACTATTCCCTTCATATCTGGAGCCAATGGATTGACAAACTGAATGATGTATATACATTGCAGTGACAAAATGGAGACCCTAGCATCATCAATTGAGAAGATTGCTAAGGACATAATGTTGATCCTAAATGAGAACTACCCCAATACACCAAATGGTGAAGGGCATACTAGTAATTTGAATGATTGTGTATGCCACATCTACAAGCATCCTCATGACGTGTCAGCTGATCAATGCCTTAGCTCCCTCCGTTATGACGTCATAAGGATGATGATCAAAGGGTCAGATTATTCCCATGCATTATCATTGCATGTTTGTGATGGATCTTCTGAGTTTCATGTTTATTCTAAGAAAGGCTGGATTTCTTTCACACCACTTAAAAAAGCCTTGATTGTCACAGCTGGGGATCAACTACAGGTATATCACACAACCAATACTTTAGCCTATAATCTTTATTGTGTTATAGTACATTAATTCAAATATGAAACGGGAAAAGAATTGACTGCACGGAAAACTTGTATACAACGAGTGTATTGTATATAACAGACCGTGTCATCACCATAATCACATATAGTCAATTATGGAGTAACTTTTATACAATTCGGGGGTGGCTAATTGACTATGGTTGTTGTGTATTTACTACTACGAGTTTAGATTACACCCGTTGTATTGGTCATAATGACCAACAATTTTTGACATGGAAGGCCCCTCGTGTCCCTTGATACATAATCATGACTCAAGGATGTTGCATTGCTTAGATTAATTAGTACCCTTTTGAGCTGTCTAACTTTTTTGTGTTCTTAATTAATCATTTCCCTGCAATTAGATTAATCATAATTAGTACTATACAATTGTTTTATCTAAGGTATACACTAATTTTTGTATTAATTTGGGTGTATATTATGACAGGCTTGGAGTGGTGGACGATACAAACAAGTGATAGGAAGACCAATATATACATTTCAAAATAAAGATTGTATTTCACTGGCTTTCTTTTGCTCTCCTCCTAATTTAAATACGAAAATTGCCAATGAATTTAATCACCAAGAGAAAAAAGAAAGGATTATTTCTCTACGACAACAAGCTCTTTTTGCTATAGTTTTTACAATTGCATGTCAACTTTTGATCAATTTTTACTGCAAATTATCACATCCATGATTTCTTCCTTTGTTCATTGTGATTTTTTAATGATTTTTTACTCTAATTACTCACCTTTTGTGTTGTAATTTTGTGATTATGTATTGGAAAGAATTCATCATATGGATTGACAAGCTTGTGTAGAGTTTGGTGGTAGTACAATATACATGCAGTTGTCACACTTTGACTTTAGCATTATTCACAAACTACACTTTGATTAGCTTTAACTTTATGATTTATAACTACGATAAAACATATATTCATGTGTATTGTGTTTGAATCGTCTCTAGGTAAATTTTCTAATATCCACTATTTATACTTGTACAATAATGTTGATTCAAAATTGTGGGTTGGCAAGTGTGATGAAAGATCCGTGTCAACTAAAAATACGAAGGTAATATATGATTATTGGATTATTTTCATAAACAAGGGCATGATGCTTTCCTTACAATATACAAAGCACGTCACACTTTGGCATGCGCTTTGTATATAAATTCAAATTAAATGGGGGTGTAAATGCCACGAAATGGACTGTAAAGCCTAAGCATTACATGACTCAAGTCCTCAAGTAACTTAGAACAGTGGGATCAAGAAAACTAATGAAAAAGGCAAGCAATGAATATCAAGTTCCACTCGGAATGCACCTACATCTTTTCTTCACATGAACATGATTGGGTTCGTATGAATGTGACACTGGTTCTTCTCTTTCACAAACTTGCTTCTGCCAGCTTCTGATCCCCACTGAACTAGGCTGCACGGATATGTCAAATTCCACTCGGATGTGCGCCTTCCTCTATGCCTCCTGCAGCTTTCCCCTTTGTTCATAACACTCCCATCACTGATGATTGCTGTCCTTTTAAATTTTCGGGCACTAGATTCTTGGACCATGTTAAAGGCTACTCTATGTCAAGTATAAGCTCCTGTCAATTATATGCTCAAGAACTTTCATTCAACTAAAAAAACAAGTAGCAGTAACAATTTTATCATCTTTGTTGATTGCAGCAGACATTCGTGTTTCATGTCATGTTTCACATACGTTTGTTCAATTCTGAATTTCCTAGCTGAATTTTATATTTACTTACAGTTAAGAGTATATACTAGTGTATAAAGACAATTAGCTGAACATCATGTGAAGAGATAAATGTGAATTCATGAGCTTTAGGATGATTTCTTCTGTTTCTTCTCTTGCCATGCTTTAATTTCAGCTCCCACCATATCAGTCACCTTTGCCTGAAATCCCGGATATGGTTCATATCCAAAGAATTGTTGAAGAGCCTGTGACAAATTAAAATCAGCAAACAATCCTGATCTGTATGTAAGTCGATTACTAGGAAGAAAAGCTACAGCAAGCAAGCAAATACAATCTTGCAGACTAAAAGGGGCTGTGAGGATGTTAACCTCTAGTAGCACGAAAAAAGGACCCATCAAGAAGGCTTGTAAGAGATTATCCAAAAGAGCAGGTGCTCGTTTCTGTCAGGAACTCGAGCATGGTAAGAACTAAGAAGCGAAAATTTGCCAGTTCAATAATTATAAGATCAGGATATCAGGGTTCATATCACCTCAAATACACCATGACCGAGGAACTGAGCAGTCCAACCAAACAACTGAGCTGCCAAAACAACCTGAATATTGAAATTGGCAAGGTGAACATACAAAGCTAAATCCCAAAAACTGAGAAATATAAAACTACACGTCTACATCCTGTGCATCATAAATTGAAGCAGTAACATATCAATCACAGCCACCATCACCTAATATCAAAGCACATCAAGATTTACGACTAAGGAGTGATAACTAAGTAGCCACCAGGCAACCTAGAAATATGAAGAGATTGTGGTTCAAGGAGAAAGCAAAATACTATGCCCAAGAAAGAATACTGCCTCAACCAGAAAACAAATACTCCGGTATCTATGTATTGTGTGCTCAACTGCTCTTGCTGTATTTCTGTGATGCGACTTTAGCAAGCATTCATTAAAAAGATGAAAAAAAATAAAAATAGCACAAGAATTGATTTAAGTAGCTGAAAAGATAAGGATGCAACTTGGAAGACGCGAGTAGGTGAAGAGCTAACATAGGAATCACTAAGCAAGGAAGGAAGCGAAAGTAGTATATATGCTGCAGGCATTGTTTAGCAGTGTGGTGAGTTGAGAAAACAGCTACATTATGTTTGGATGATGTTTGATTTGATTAAATCAACAGATGAGCACAAGTCCACAAGATACTTACATGGTTCAATCAACTAATGTAATCTCTTACAGAAAAGAAGGTTAAATTCCAGCTTAAAAAAGCAACAGGGACAGCAAGGCATCCTCAAAGCAGTTTGAAACAGATCTTTAATGGAGGTGCAAAACTACCACCACCCCGGCACAAGCAGGCCAGGCTTTGTAAAATACTCTCCAAATCTAAAGTTCATTTCATAATCTAATAATAGGTTATGTGCTTGATTCAAGTATGATACCAATACTTGCAAAGTTATAGAGCGCGATGTCCAAAGTGTCAATCACTGGTTGTAACAAGACTTAGATGCAGAACGACACATTAGATGCCCCTTGAACAAACTGCTGGACTAGACACAAGCAAGGAGTCCTGGTACACGTCCATTGATATGAGCAAGATATCGGCGAATCTCAGGTGGAATGAAAGGTCATACGAATTCAGGATTTACCAGGAACAAAACTTTTTGGTTGCACTATTGACATGATGAGAACCAGATTCGTTTTACCATATAAAATATAAACAGATTAGAACCTGTCTAAACCCAATTTTAGACATAGAAATATGAACACCATTGAAAATGGGATTGAGGGTCTGGACTGTTATCATGGATCCATAAGACTGAATCACAAATGTAATTTTTTATAACATTGAATCAAGAATGGCATAGCATAGAATCTCCTTAAGAGCTCGACACGAATTCAAATCTCAGCCACCTTGTTGCCAAATGACCAATTAACCAATGCATTAATATGGATATTAGATACACCTAATTAAACTGAGCCTAATCTCACAACAGAAAACATGATTTCCTAAGTTCACAACCCGGTCAACGCCAATGCTACTTACACCTAACAGTTACAAACCAAGACAATTTACTAAACCAAGACAATTTACAATCATCACTTAACAAAAGCATTAATCAACCAAGAAAAAAAATTAAAAGTCAACCCAATGTTACCCATCAATTAAAACCCATAAAACCTAACAAAAATCCATCAAAAATAGCCATAACAAAGTTTAAAATGTAGAAAATTACCTTCCAAGTCAAAGAAAAGCCAAGATATTTAGCAAAAGCAGAAGCTCCAAGCCAACAGAGGAAGCAGAGAAGAGCAGCCAAAGAGCCAGCTTTTTTATCCAAACCCACATAAAATACAGCATAAATTATAGTGAAAAATGATGCAAAATTAGGTAAATAAAAAATGGGTACATAGTAAAATAGCATTAGGGCTGTGAAGAATAGAGGCCAAACAAATAACATATGAATCAATATATTAATTGGGTTGCTGTGATATGCGCCATAAAATGCAAAGTTTTTCTCAAGATCAAACAACCCCATTTTTCTATGCTAGAATTTTGCCCAGATTTTCAGATTTTTTTTTTCAAAGATGGAAACTTTAGGATGAAAACTGGGAAATGGAAGATTAGAAAGAGGTTTACAAGTAAATCTACTTGATTAACGATCAAATGATATTTTAAATTTTGTTAAGCAATTTTGAATTGATATTTAACAATTTCAAATTGAATTTAATCAAATTTCAGTAAAAGGTATAGTGAAAGCATATTCATCCATTTGACTGTATTTTTTTAAGATTTAATTACATAATTGCCACTAGATATTCTATTCTTTTTGCATTTATTGAGAAAAAATAGAATTTTCGCATAGAATTGGCAATGGATTTTACAAATGAACTTGTTTTCGGTTATTTACTCCACTATTAGAAACTACGGAATAATAAAACAAGTGATTTATTGTTGGTCATGTAGGAAAATTAATTCGGTTGTCCAAGCTTCCAAAGTTTATTACAATATAGATTGTTATCAATTCATTTTCAACAAGACTAGCATCAAATTGTTAGGGTGGGGGACTTTCTAACAATTGATTTTAAAGTTGACCACCTAGCTCGATCAATTGAAAAGAAATAGTAACCTAAAATCGACTCGGAAAACATAAAATAAGCTCCCTTGAAGCTTGAAGTTGACTAGAGAATTTGGTAATATGAACACGGAATCAATACGCAAAATACAGTATAAATGTATGGCAAGATACAAGGTGGTGTTGACAACTATTAGGCGACCTTGTACCATGATAATAATGTAGTTTGAAAATTTGATCACATAATTGAATGTGTTATAAGTCAACAATATATAGTGAATGCCCAAACTCATCCGAATGCATTTATGAGGTGTTTCGTACGAGGGATAGAGAAAAGAGGAATGAGGGAAGATAAAGACATAAAAAAATAAGTAAATAGGATAAGGATAATAATTGTTATCTAGGGGTGTCAATTCGGTTAAAATGTTATCTCGTGTTTGGTATGTATAGGAAATAAATTAGAAATTAGTAATAAAATTATATTTTTTCCCTTGCAAACTTCTTTTTTCTCTCCTTTGTCCTCATTCTTTAAATTATATTAATAAGGGTAATTTGATCTTTTTCAAATCATTTTCTAGTCAACCCCCCTTCTAGTCTTATTCTCTAAACAATTTTATTCCTAACATCTTATTTTTATCCCTAGTTATCCCCCTAAACAAATCCCCTTTTAATGTCATGATAAAATTGATTTTCACATATATTATGTTTTGGATTGTAAAGGATTCAGCTTAATTAATACACGCAAATTAATCTATATTTCGTTCTTTCAACAAATTTTACTACATTATGATTATTTTGACAAATCAATCTGTTTATGCTTTTTAGACATAATTGCAGACTTGCTTATAGGCTCTCCGCTTAGCTTGTCGGAAAGGATTTTTATGCCTTCTTAAGTACAATAACTATGCAGTTTTGTCTTCCATGCTGTGTTGCACAAAATCTGGTGATGTATCATGTGTTTGGCTTCTATGGGGTATTCAAATGGCTCTACAAGGTTTTCTTGCCTATCGCATTGGTAAAGTCCCTCAAAATTGGATTACTCTTGTTCATTGGTTGGTTGTATGCGCTAGACAACGTCATTTTCTTTTTGGTCCTTTTTTTTTTTTGGGTGCTTTGTTAGGTTTCTTTGATAGAACTTCTTGTAATAAAAAAAAAAAAAAAAAAAAAAATTACATGTTGATTTGCAAAAACAAAAATTGTTCTCCTATTATTACTCTAAAATCCCCAAAATACCCTCAATTTACTCATAAATCATAATGTGAAATTGGGTAGAAATTGTTTTCTCTCTCAAAAGTCACAAAGGAATACAAGAATAAAACAGTAGTGGTCTTTACATTCTCCAGTCCACTAAGAGAGTGAAATTGGAAGAAGGTTCTTGTTGATTATGGCTATGGAGGCACCTTGGCTGCAGGAATTATTGGCGACTACCTCTGTTTTCTCTGAATCTGAGGTTTTTTTTTTTTTTTTTTTTTCCTAACGCTCTCTTTATTCCATCATTAGCAATTCTCTTTCACTCGTGTTTGTTTTTCATCAATTTCTCTCTTTTTTCACCATTTGCAACTTTTGATTTTCATTATCTTGAGTAATTTAGCTAATTACTTTCTGGGTTGAACAAACCCATTTCATTTTGCTACAATTCTGTGAAATTGGTATTTTATTTTTGTTTTTTGTTTTTTTTTTTTTGGCTAATTTGCTATCTGTTTGTAATTATTTTTTTTGTGGGTATTGATTGTTGAGAGTCATATGATGCAATGATGAATTATTATATTTTATTCTGTGAAAAAAAAATGCATTCATATGAGTTTGTATTGCTTTTTTTTTTTTTTTTTTTGGGGGGGGGGGGGGGAGGGTAGGGGTGGATTGCTCGCATTGCTGATATCATGATTTGGGTGAAACTTTGGAAATTCCCATGTTTTTGTATTTTATAAGGAACCCCACATATAATGAACTGATTAGGAAGGTAAGACAAATATGGTGTAGCAACTTAAACTTCATCCGTTTCAATTTAATTGCAACATAAGGAAAGGCGTAAGATTTTAGGACATTATGTGACGAGGAGAAAGATAAAAACTTCCTTTAAAAGGAAATGTTGCAATTAATATGTGTTTCTGCAAAAGAATTTCGGATCGGAGTTAAAGGGGAGCCTGCTCGTCTGGTGTAACCGAGTCCTGCAAAACAACGAAAGTCAAAACTGTGTTTAGAGAGAGAATTTGTAGAGAGAGAGTGTGGAGAAAGAATAAAAAAATTACCTCGCTAATCTGTGAAGATTAGCATTTATAGGAGAGGATTAACTAACTTGATTAGGGTTAGGATTAGGGTTTCTAGCCGATCGGCCCAGTTGGGCTATATTAGGGTTTCTCGGGATGCGTGCTTCGCATGATGATTGAATTTTCCTGTTTAGGGTTTAACTAAGGGCATTTTGGTAATTTCTGTATTTAATGAACGTGGTACCAAACAATATGGAATGATTAAGTGTGTTATAGCTAGGGTGTTGCCTATTATTACTTTGAGCATCTTCTCTAATTCACTCTTATGCAAAACTAGATGAAGCCCATGCGATGCACGGTTTGTTTGATATATTTTAAATAATGTTTTTTTTTTTTTTTTTTTTTTTTTGAGCCTAAAATTTGTTATATATTTTAATAAAATTCCTAATATTAAAAGTTAATATATAATATTTAATTAATTTAAACTTAAAAATCTCATTTGCCAATTTTGCTTACATGACATTTAAATTATTTAATTCTAAAAGAAATTACTAATCTCTTATTTAATTGGCTACTACTAAGATTTATAATCCTACATGGCGCGCTGAGAAAATTAGATACTACGTGGCTCTCTAAAAACTCGGGAAAAAACTCCCCTTTATATATGTATATTAGATTTGCATGGCAAGATTTCAAACAGAAAACACCTACCTATTGCAACTGTTAGCCTTAGAGTTTGGCATATGTGATGTTACATGAGAGAATGGTGGATATTTAGATATGATTTGGTGGCACATAGAGTTATGATATGGGAACTATTGCAAAACTCCAGCATCATGATTATGATAATTATAGTATTACACGAGTTTATAAGGAAAATGTAAAGAAACCAGAGTAATTCCTGTAGTGTTGGCCTTTCTACAGCCAGCCATTGAGCTAATGAAATGGGATAAGGTTGCCATTATTGAACTTTAGTTATATCTTGTAGGTGCTAGAAGCCTAAATCTGTTGTATGGATTTCTAATCATCTTGGCTATCCCATCTATAGCATAATAATTGTCATTCTGTAGATATGGCGAAAGGTTGGCTGATAGGTTCAATAACATCGGCAAAATTAGATCTAGATAAAGGTCAAATTCATTTGGTAAACCCAACATGGAAAGTGAGACCATTATTCAGGTTGGGAATAAAGGAGAGCAAAACATATCATGTTTTAGCTTTAGTTTATTAGGGTGGTTTAAGATTTTCTCTCTGTCCACTACCTGCAGTATTTTGCATCCATTGCTAATGTGTCTAGAGCACTTTTGCAACTGTAGGCCAATGTGCTTTATCTAAGACTGTAACTTATTTGGTTTCCTTAAATTGCTCATTAGTCTGCCTTGTTGTGTGGAAATTTGATTTGATTTTAGTCTTGAAATCCCACTATATTCATTGTTTTTACTTCACCTTCAACGTAACCTGCTAAACACTGCATGAACTGCTTCACAAAATTGCACCTGGATAATCAGCACAGGACTCTCACTGAATCATTACATAAAACCTTTTATGGTGAATTGCTCAGCATTTTGTTACAAAAGATACCGATGCATTCAATGTCTTTGATCTCTCTTGGATCCTTTGACAACAAGTTGTATATCGTCAATAAAATGAATAGGTCAAAACAGCATGAGAATGGGTCAAATCAGCATTGAGCTGTTCATGCAAATTTATTTTGCATATTTTTTTGTTATTCAATATTCAAATACTGCCTCCATCCCAAGGTGTTGTCCATGATTTCACAAGTACTTGGAGTGTATAAGATTAATCATTGCTATCACTTTGCAGATTGCAGAGATGGAGAATTTATTCAGGCAAGTTAGAAAAGAGGCGTTGACTCAAGAATTTTATCAAGACCTTGCAACAAGTTTCAGGTAGTTGGGCAAGCTTCAATCCTGTATTGCGCTTTCAACTCAGCATTGAAGCTGTAATAAAACTTTTCCTTATAGGGGCTATAAGGATTGATTACCTTCTTGTTTGTTCTTTACATCTGCAGTTCCTCTACTTGTCGCATCGGAAAACCATCCATAAGTTGGCAACAGGCAGAATTCCAACTATTATTCTTATTTTCTTTATTCCATTATTAACTTAATGCATATTTCAATCTTATGAATTTGCCTTGTTCTGTGCTACACCGCTACCATGACACTTTTGCAGGTGCATAATTGGTTCCAAGATAAACAGAAGGGTACATTTTCAGTTATAAATACACCTATGTCAACGTTGTCAAGTAAAGCACCTGAGACTTCAATGGTACTTAAAGGTAAAATAACTGTATTTAACATAAAACAGGATAATAGATGTAAATACTTGTAAGTACTATAAATTGTGTGCAATCTATATCTAGGCTTAATATTGTCAATTCATTAATATCTTTTCAAATAATCATGAACTGTACACAGGTGGAACAGCTTCAGAACTTGCAGACTTGGCTTTTGAGGCTAAATCTTCAAGAGATAATGCATGGTGAGCAGTGAACATTCATGTAACCCTTAAAAATATTTTTGTTTTTCTTTTATGTAAGACACTACATTTTTCTAGTCTTTACTTGAGGACCTTAGGTTTGGTTTAACTAAACTCTGCAAAATACATGTTGATGCTGGCTTTCTGAGCACTTAAATTATCTCGGTGTCTACTAAAGTTTGCAAATGACATGGATACTGTGTCTTTATGACATGCTTTCAATTATTCTTACTAAATACTACTCCCTCCGTTCCTAAAAATTGGTTACGTTGGCCATTTTGGGTGTTCTTTTTCTTTTATTTTTTTTTCGGTTATGTTTCAATCATTTTCTAGATTTTTTTTTTTTTTTTTTTTTTTTTGTACACAGTTTCCCTCACAACTACCTACTCCCAAAGCAACTATTACCATTTACTAAAATATTTATCTACTCCTAAAGCAACTATTCTTCTTTACAAAAATATTAACCTACTCCCAACGTAAATATTCTTCTTTCCGATGTTGAATTAATGTCTTAATACTTTATTTTTGTGACATCTAATCATTGTTTTTCACTATCTTATTTTCCTGTAACAATCGTTCAGGAATAGAAGAAGTATTGCTAATTCATGGTGGAACCCTAATGCTGTTTTGCTGAGTAAAAACCTGTTTGAAATTCATTAATTGTAACAAAGTTTTTCATTTATTTGAAAATATTTACTTTTTACTGTTTCTTGGTGATTTGAGATTGAATGAGAATAGTGGTGGGATGATATTGGAAAAATGTTTATTTTCTAGTTCCAGATATGGTGTATGTCTATTTATAGAAGCTGTTCAAGTGTCAATATCAAAATATGAAATATTTCTTGATTACAGGCATAGCTGAAGCTTTCATTTTTGGGGATTGTAATAGTTGAATTCGAATGAACTGAGCATGCAAAATTTCACATAAGCCAAACTCTGTTATTGATACATCACATCTCCTCAAGCCTGATCAAGTTTTGTTTACATGCAATCCTTCTTCTTTGTAGACAAAGCTACCGAGCATTTACCATAAGTTAATAGATACATAACAAAAGGGCACAATACAGAACCCTAGAAAAAAAAAATAAAAAAAAAAAATTAAGAAAGAGAAATTTAACACAAGTTAATGAATATATCACAAAAATATGGTGCAATTTTTATGTCCTGCTCACAGGCACTATCTTTATTCTCCTAATTTCCAAATGCTTTGAACCTTCTCTCTCTTCCCTGTTCTCTAACAGTCCCTTAAGTAGTTAGCCTGGGTTCCTGTATTAAAATTCAAAGTAAGAATTGAAAGACCTATGTACTCATAAATTCATATAAGGAGTACGTATTTTGACTTTTGAAGTTATGTTTGGTTAATTGCTCTTTTTCATTATATTATTTTCTGTCCCTTCTTTCCTGTTTAACAATTTCAGCATCTTCACAGCTACGCGCTGCTTGTAAATAAATCAAATATTTCTTGTTGGTGCTTCATGGCCAACGTTATCTGATACTGCACAATTTAGATCTTGAAAAATATTTTAGAGAGAGGGGGAGAGAGCCGACATACTAAACAGTTATCACCCATCACTAAATTTCTAAGCCTTTGTTTTATCAAATTAGCTTTTTGGTAAAAAAAGCTTGTCATTCTTTTGTTATATGATGATTAACCAAACTGGTAAAATCTGTTATGGAAAAAAGAAAGAAATAAAAGTACATGCTAATCAGTTCATTACATGCCACTATGCCAGGTATGATGTTGGTACATTTCTCAACTACAGAGTTCTATGTTCTGGCGAACTTGTAAGCTCCTAGTGTACTGCTTCTCTCATTTGGATTATAAACATGCCCTTTACATGGATTTTTTTGTCATTGTTTTTTATCCTCCCTTTCCCCCTTCATTTATTTTTTGGTTTTTTCCTTTGAATTTGGCTCGATGTGTTACTTTCGCTAAGATATGCTCTACATCATCAGAGGGAAACACTAGACCATCTGGATGATGGTTACATATCATGGGAAAAACATTGGAAAAGTGGAGGCTTTTTCATGAACCTTTAAATCTTTAATGGAAAAATGTAAATTAATTGCTCTGTTCTAATGATTTTACATGTTATACCATGTAGGTATACAATGTTCATTGTCTCTCTTTAATGGTTTCTTCTTAAAGGAGCTTCAAACTTTTAGTCGTTTTAACTTCCAAAAACATAGTAACCAGTGTATACATCCATGGTCCATCTACTGGTATAAAATTGAGAGACTTGCCTATGCTTATTCTTTTTTTCCTGGCTGATTCTTTTTTCGTTCTTTTTTTAAAAATTCAAATGCAATAAAAAGAAAGATACCAGGTAGGTATCCCCTATTCTCGAGGGTTGATCCTAATGCATCCTGGCTCATCCTATGTAGCCTGCCTACACTTCTTTTCTTTTTCCACACTAGCTCTTTTTTTTTTTCTTTTTTTTTATCAGTTTGGATGCATAACTGTGCTGTGCTATTTGTTATTGGCTTCAGAAATAAGTGTCTGATTTACAATATGCTGATTGTCTGATGTATCTTTCTCATCTTGGCCCTGGCCCCTGGGTGCTATTGAATGTGAGATGCGATAGCTTGTATGTCAACCTGTCAAGATTGTGTTCATCATACGAAAGATTAGATGCTGGCCACAGGGTAGTTAGACCAAATATAAAGAAATGATATTGTTTGTTTGATGCTGATTTTACAATTGTTGCTGGTAAATCGAATGAACTTCAGTCAATTTTCCCTTGGTAACTAGCAGATTAATTTTGGAGGACAACTCATGAAATGTTGTTTATAGTGTAATAAGGAACATTTGATTGATGAAGCCAAACTCTGTTCTTTTTGTTCTATCCATTTTTGTCCGTGATTATTTGTTCTACTCACTTTGCTTTATTCTAGTTTTGGCCTTCCCTCTCTACCGTGTTAACCCTTGAACCTCACAATAATTACACCTTATCCATACGTTCTCTCTTTATTCATTTTTTTTTCTTACACCCAAATTTTTACAATCTCTGTCTTATTTATCCTACTTTATCTAACACCCACTCACGTTCTTCAATATTTTCTTAAAATTTGTACCTACAGTAATTTGAATTTAAAATAACAGAGGGAGTAAATTGCTGATAGTTTCTTCTAGTTGGAATGAATTGAAAATGTGACTTGTATTATGTTTACTTCCCTGCCCATCTCTTGTTTACTCATTATTCATCTATGCAAGTGAAATTTTTTAAAGCAGCACAGATACTAATGTTTTATCATCTAAAACAGGAAGCTCGTGTCAGATTTGCGGGTTTTGGGGTCTCCCATGATGAATGGGTGAATGTAAAAATTGGAGTGCGTGAACGTTCAATCCCTCTAGAACCTTCAGAGTGCCATAAAATTAAGGTTGGCGACCTTGTGCTGTGCTATCAGGTATTATTGTTGTGCTGTTGTCCCTACTTTCTCGTCCCCTTGAAAGAGGAAATTTTTAATCATTTGTACATGTTTGAAATATTCCTTCCATTCTAAGATATCACAAAGTAATATTGCATTAGTTAGTTGAAAGTTGAAACCAACAAAAGATATTGGGTGATAAATAGTTATAGAGGGAATCCTTTTTAGAGTTTAATTTAGTAATTAGATCTTCTTTAGAGTGATAGAGGTTCTTTGTCAACGACGACTGCTGGAGATTAAATCATTGGTATGTGCAGTCAACCTCTCAACCCAATCACATTAGATGGCTTAATCAACCAGTAATTATTAGGATTTAAAATTATTTTCATAGTACTTACAAATGTGGACTGATTAGAATCTTTGCTTACAACGACTGCAATTTCAAACTTAAAAGTCGCAAACTTTATTTTGATAACGATCAATTTCTGCGCACTAAAATCATATGCCTTCAAGTACTCTGCAATGTGTTCATTTACCAATAACTTTTTTTTTTCTATCTTTTTTCCTAATGGATTCTTGTAGGAAAGACTGGATTATGCTGTATATGTTGATGCACATGTCATGGAAATCCAACGGATGTTGCATGACATAAAGGGATGTCGATGCATCTTTGTGGTTCGATTTGATGATGATAAGACTGAGGTAAGTGAATGCCTCAACAACATAATATTGAATTTTTTGTGGCATGTATTATACTCGGAAGTATTAAGTTCCGTCTCTCTTATGGCAGGAAAAGGTCCAGCTGAGCAAGATATGCTGCAGGCCAAAGTAAAAGTCTGCATTGAAATTAGCTGTGCCAGAACTAGAAATTACAATTGAGACATCAACATTTTCCATGTAACAATAGGGGCAGGTTGCTATTTGGTGCTTCAACTGGTAACACCATTCGCTGTATAAAGTAGAATTAATATCCTTTGTGATATAATCAAACCGGAAAACAAGCTTAATGATTTTAATCTTATGGAGAATGCTTACTGTTTAATCAATCAGGTGGTTCAATTAATAGCTATTTGGAATGCCTATATATGAACGCGTTAGCATCATCAAATTATATGAAACCTTTCATGGATGCTTTGTCTCCGTTGATCCTTTAATGGCCCGTTTGGTAGCTATCAATTAATTTAGTGCGACATATGAAAAACAACCTTAAAGCCTATAATCTCCATTGAAACACAATCTCATCTCCCAAGCTTGTGTTTTCTTCATGTTTTTCCCTCAAGATGGTATTAGGTAAGAATGAAAGTATACAGAAAAATATACCATCATCTTTTGCAAAGAGACGGAAAATGGTCCACGACAACTTCACCAATTTGCTCTATGGTACAATGTAGTCTTACAGATAACTAGCTACTACGAGACCTCTACAAAAAGAACCCTTTCACAGGCTCACAAGAATTTATTAACTCTTGAATAACACTTGATTTAAGTGCATGATAAGCAATTATGCATGTCATGAACAATTTTACGGATCAATAGAACATGCAATAGATACTAAATATACAATCACCTTTTGCAAAGAGATGGAGAACGGCCTACAAAAGGATAACTTTACCAATTTGTTGTTTCATACATACAGATAACTAGCTACTTGGAGAACCTGTACAAAATGAGAACCCTTCTGAGGGCTCGCGATAATCTCTATATTCTTGAATTAACTTGATTGTGATTGTGTTACCCATCAAAATGTCTACTCTTAATTGATTCGTTAGGCGGTTAGCATCAATTTAATAAGGATCCTTATCACTGCAGCCTCACGAAACTGTCCTACCATAACAAAGGGTAGAGATGTACAAGTTTTTGTCCCACTTTTCCTGCCAAAATCCGAAGAAAAAAAGAGGATTCAATTTTCCATGGCCTGAATAAGTTGACGATGGCAAATGCGTTAAACCTTACCTTAACATGGGTGGAAGGGAAAGTGGATGTTCGAAGAGTCTCTTGAGACTGATCCCTCCTTATTCGTTTAGGAATACTAAGAGCAAAAGCAGACTGGTCTGGAGTTCCTGCAGCAGCCGTGATACGATACCCTTCTTCCCATCTCTTGTGTATACCTTCACTTGGGTAGAGAAAATCTAATTCGACAACCTGGATAAAATACAAAGCCTAAGGATAACACCACAAGAGATGGTACTCAAACAACTCAGTAACACATAAAGCACATAGCTGAAATACGACAAACACCTGTCTTGTATATAATGAACAGCGAGACATTACAATTCCCCATCTACTTCCAGCAGTTGCCATGGAGGTAATATAGAAGCCTTCCCTCCACTTCTTAGCAATCCACTTGTATGGAAATAAATCGCTGACTTTATATGATTGCTGTGAGAATTGGGTTCCTAGATTCCGCAATGAGACAGATAACATCAGAGGCACAAACAAACAAACAAACAAACAAACAAACAAACAAACAAACAAACATATTCTAGAATTAAGAGCAGTAGGTCTAAACCTTTTGACATAACAATCAATGACTGTCCAGATCCCGTTCCTGCAGCTGCAGAAATAAAATAATTCTTCTCCCACATCTCCATTATCCAATCCTTTGAAGGGGGTAAAAACAGATCCATCAGCAACACAGAAGTCGCAAAATATTAAAGAGTGGCTAGAAGATGCCAATATAAGTTAATTCAAGCCATATCTTCTATGGCAGATTCAGAAAAATTACGTTACTAACTAAGCAGATACCCTACAAGGTAAATAGCAAAATGAAATGCATTCAAATAGGTTCAACAACTGAGTAAAAGGTACATAGCATGATGCAGGAATATGAATACATGGAGATATGTTCTTGCACCATGAAGTATCAATGTATTCATCGTAGAATATTGTCCACAGTCAAGGTTCATATAAGGGATTATCTTTTCCCAGGGGATATAAAGAAGTAGAGTTGGTACATCATAAAGCGCCACTAATACAGTTATACTATACAATGTAATGAACCAATTTTATACATCCTTTCAATGACATCAATTCAGTTATAGATCCTTCCATTTAGCATTCTAGTAGGTCCTTTTTAAAGGCAACAATTATGCATGTACCTTGTTGAAGAAAACTGGAGAGCGTGAATAAACTTGAGCGCTAAATCCACTACCAGAATCCATGATAAGGGCCCACAGATTATCACTTGATGTCAAACTAGTGATAAAAATACCATCATTATATCCTTTCTCAATATGGGAGTCGACCCTCGCATCTGCAACATTATAGTGATACCTACAATATAATATGACAATGAAAAGCTCACCCTCTAAAAAGACACACAAATAAACATGCACAAGAGAAGGGACAAACAAAAATTAGGAGTGTGTGTCCAAGTTAGCATGTGTGCACGAATTAGATTCATATTGCATACAAAAATGACAAAACATTCAAATAGTTACAGAAAATTACAGCAGTCACAGAAAACTAAATGCTATTGCGCGTGAAATAAATAAGGTCCAATGAAGACAAACGAAATATCAATCTTCTAAGATAACATCTGATTCCATGTAACCAAACTGATAGTGTCAATAAAGCTTGCACAAATTCAATGACTGAGGCAAGAAAAGCAATAATATCATATGATTTCAACATTCTTCAAATGATTAGCACACGCATGGAAAGTGCTAAAACATACCTTTGCTTCAGAGGGCGTCGAGGATCATAAACACTGATCCACTGCACTGCAGGCTTCCCCAACCGAACTTTCTTTTTGACCTGTTCATCTTCATCCTCATCCTCATTGTCAATAGTAAACCGACCTCTTTTTTGACCAGCCTGACACTGAAACCACAAAATAAACATTACAATATAACTTAAACAATCTGATCACGCCGTTGGATGACAAACTCAATGCCAAGGGTAAAAAAGATACCTTTTGTGCACCATCAATATTTATTGGCCTTGCATCAGGTTTGGAATCAACAATCTTGTCAAAGAGAGAAATATATTTTGCATAATTGGGGTCCTCATCAAACTTCAAATTTACCACATGCTCAAGAAATTCTTGGAATGGCTTTGGACATGAAGTACAAATCCCTTCCAGAGATGTTGCCATTTTCTTCTTGCAGACGAGAAAATTCTTATTGTTTCCCTGTGATGAAATTAACTGATTAAGAGCGGCCTGGGAATAGCTAAATACATCATATTCCTCTGACATACAGACCTGAAAACCTTGCCATGGGAGAGAACCGCGGATGAGGAAAATAAGGGTATAAGCCAGAGATTCTAGATCATCTCTTCTGCTGCTAGTTCTCCCCAAATGAGCATGGACACTAGCATATCGGACAGTTCCCCTGTAAGGTTTAAATAGGACAATGAAATTGCAGAGAGTGGAAATTGAGTGAGCTATTAACTTGAATACAGAATTTTATTTATTTATTTATTTATTTAAAAAAAAAACAAGTTTTTTTAAAAAAAAAACAAGTTTTCCAACCTAAATGCATCTGGCCTCTGGTCATACCCAACATGTAGACCTCTAGAAATTTGCCATTTTGTTGCTACAACAGATAGAACTCCCAAGTGTCAAACACAAACAAAATGAACAAAAAAAAAAGATAGAAGATGAACATAGATCCACATGATTCATAACTAATAGCAAACCTAATCCAAGATCTGCCAGAAATAACTTCTTCTCATCAGGTGTCCCTGGAGAACCCAGCAGAAAATTCTCAGGCTTCACATCTCCATGGACATAACTGCCAGTCAAAGAAGATGAAAACTCAGAACAAAGCACCATGGTCCATGATCACCTTGAAAATCATTACTTAATCAAGCCGCCAAGGAATATCATTAAGACAAGTTCCAAGACTGAAATATGAAGCAGCCTGTATACTGTAATGAAGAACCACATACTTAAATCCAATTTGAACTTTCACCATTTATGGTGCATATAAGAGTATGCAAAAGAAATAGGCTTCCACAAATTCTTGTTAATTTAATACCCATGAAATCAAAATCAATGCGTGGAAAAAACACAGAAACAAATAAGAGAGAGGGGGTATTTATGAGCAAGAAACATATGCAAGATTGAGAAAAAGAAGGTATATATAAATTATAGAAAAAAAATAAAAAATAGATGATCAAACTTCATCCACTACATTGAGAAATAAAACTCTGATCATACCACAGTTTAACAGAGAAGTAAAAGCATTGTATATGAAGCACATAAACCCAAATAAATAAGTTGCTAAAATTCTCACCCTTTACTGTGAATGTTTTTCAATATAGAAATTGCTTCAACCGCAATGCATGCAGCCATTGAAGTTGACACTCTGATCCAACCCAGCAAGTCAATATATATTTTAACAAACACAAGTTAATATGTAGTATAAATGAAACATGATAGTAAGGTCTCACGTTTGGCTCTTATTATTCCAAGTATCCCATAGACTAGGTCCAAGCATATCCATGACCTGATAATACCATAAAAAAAAGAAACCATTACTAACCTTGAAAGTACAATGCAAACACAAGATGTAACCTTACAAGTAGAAGTAAAATACACACCATGATGTAGTAGTCACCTTGAGATCCCTTGTAATGTACTCGTGGTACACCATGGCTTCCACTCAATTTACTGTCAAACAAATAAAGCATAACAAATTCAGACGCTGAAGAAAGAACAGATATTAAACTACAAAAGAAAACCACAGGAAGATACAATGCATACTTGTACACCTGCCACTCAGCCGGAGGACCATTAAGACATCCTTTGCTATATTTGCGTTCAAACTTCAAGGCTACCTACAACCCAACTTTAGTATTACTGTAACAAGTTGATAGCACATAAAGAAGAACATAATGTAACGAAATAGACAGCGTACCTCCACAGCATCAGGGCCTTTGTGCATATCTGCAATAGAAGACACTCGGCGACCAACATAAACTTGACCAAATCCCCCCTTTCCCAGCTTTTTTTCAACCTTGTATTTCGGGGAGCCACCAACCTGAACCTGTACAAAATGCAGAAACCACATAAAGATACCTTAAAATTCAAAACCCACAACTATAATCTGTTCAACATAGGGCAGCCTTCAAAATCAACTGAAAATAGTCTTATACACAAAACAAATTAAATATATTAATTGCAATAGTTTGCATATATTACCAAAATCCACAAACTAAATATGGCCTATCAAACCAAATATGCTGCCTGAAATTCCAATTAGTGATAAGAAACCTACTTTAATTACCAAGCACATATATTTCACTAAAATACATAACTTCTGCTTTAAATTACTTCGAAATCTTATTGAAATCATAACAGATACTCCGTATATCATTATCATCTATGGTTTAAAACACACAAAACGTTGATCATAACCCGAAATCATTTGCAACATTCTAAATTCCATTCCAACCACCCCTCCTTCAAACTAAGAAGTATCAATCAAGCAAACCATTTCATAGATATACACAAAACAAATTTAGCTTCAAATTACGCAACAACAACAATAAAGCCTTAAACCCAAAATGATTTGGGGCCGGCTAACATGAATCGTCATATGGAACTGTCCAAAAAAAATACGCCAAATTTAAAAAAAAACCGAAAAAATAAAAAGAAAAAGAGAAATTTATACCTCTTTAGGCACAACATCCATACAACAATCATCGCATTCAAAATCATCACTTCCCTCACTATCAAACATTCTCTCTCCTAAAACCTAACCCTGAACTGAACTACCACCAACTAGAACAACGACAACCACCGCAACTGACACCTGTACTTCGACTACCGCCGGCGATGAAAATCACCGCCGCAGATAACACCGGTGCTCCAATCACCGCCGGGTCTCTTCCACAAATCGTCGCCGGAAAAACTTCAACTTACAAATGAAGTTGAAATATGACAACCAAAACCACCAAACTCGCCGGGAAACAGAAAACTCCGATGATCCGCCGGCGACACTATCGGAAAAATGAAATGCCAGCGAAAATTCCGACGTTACAAGCCGAAAATCGCTGTTATTTTGGATTTTGAGTAGCAAGATGGTGGATTTAGAAGCAGAAATTGAAGAAAAAATTTAGGGTTTTTGATAAATTGGGGATTTTTTTTAGAAGTGAAAGAGAGAACAAAGGTTGGGCAGATAATAAAAATAAAAAAGAAGCGGTAAAAAAGTTATAATTTAGCTCGAAAATTATAAAAAAACGTACTTTTCGTGAATTGTATTGGAAGATATGGACCGTTGATGAAGGGCGGGATTTAGATTAAGGCGGGAAAAATAAATTGTTTAGAGGAAAGTGTATAGGGGAAGGAATGTAGAAGTTTATAGGGGAAGGAAATGCAAGGTAATTAGATAAATGTAGAGGGAAGATCCGAAGATGGTAATTTTTTTTTAAATCTTACTCCGTATATTTATTTACTAAGGATCTGTTTTCATACGTTTATTTTCATTTCAGCTCAGTTCAGTTCAGCCCCTAATTCTCTTCTCTTATAAAATATTCATTTCAATTCAGTTCAGTTCATCTGATTTCGGTCTATTAGAACAGGCCCTAAGTATTCCACATAATTATTTGGATTTTTAGATACTCCTATCTTAAATGAAGTTTCTTGAACAAGGATCATTTTTTTTTTGAGGGGATCTTGAACAAGGATCATGATAAGCTGATTTGAAGGACTTATCCTAAGTTCAAAATTTTTCAAATAAGAATCATTTTGAATATGAGAAAATTCTTACATTGTGACTATGTTGTACAAAATGTAGAGTTGATACTTCATTAATATAAATCTCTTGTTAATTAATACGGAGTAATATAAGGGATCGTTTGGCATCACAGTGGTTTTTTATTTTTTGGTTTTTTGTTTTTTAAAATCATATGATACTAGTTTTGTACCCCGTGCGATGCCCGGGTTGTTTATTGAAGATAAAATTTTAATTTATATGTCAAATTTTTAATTTTATCATTGATACAAATTTAGTTAGGAATTGATGTGCTTTTATGACGATTTGCTATATTTAATCGAAATTTTTTTAACAAAATTATAATTCAATTTGTACCTCTGAAATATTGATATTTTATTGAAAATAAAACTCTAAAATAACAATTTATCCTAAAATTATATCAAAATAGAATTTTAAACTAACTTTTTAATCGTCTATTTAAATATATCCAACGCACTTGGCGAAAAGTTGAAACGCTAAGTGTCGATGCCTCGTGACCTGGCTAAAAGTTTAGCTTTATATATTTGTTATATGATATGTCATATAATAAATTAACAATTAGTCAAACTTATTTATATCATGATGATTTTAAAAACTGACAACAAAAAAATGGAAATATATTTTTCTTATTCCTTGTTTTTTGTTTTTTTTTTTTAAAAAAATTAAAAACGGTCAAACAAGCCCTAAAGTTTTGTCTTCAATTCATGTGAAGATATTTTGGTTATTGAAATATCTGGAAAGTGAAATTGACATAAAATTAAATGGTTGTTTCATTCTTGTAAAAAAATTGTAATTGAGTGGAGGATTTCTACGCTAGGATTGTGACATATGAGGAATATATTTTTGGAGAAGGAAACTAAAAGTAGTGAGAATAACCAAATTTAAAGTAGTGAGGACTTTTTTTTTTTTTTTTTTTGACACAAGTGAGGACTAATTTTTATTTATATATTTATTTATTATTTTACCTTAGCCGGTGTGTTTGTTTTTTGACCCAATGATTACAAACTCTTGGTTAATATTTCAGAGTACCAATTCAACATTGGACTTTCAATTGATCATAAACACATAGAAAACACTGCTTTAACTTTTAAAGTTATTGTTTAATATAGCATTCATGCAAAGCTTTTAGTATATGTGGTTTAATGGTTGATATTTAATCCGTTAAACTTAGCATGGTTTGAATTTGATTCCATCATTACTATTGTACAAGCTCCGTTAAATGTTATTTACAACTTTAGAATATTTTATATCTTATAAATAATACCCTAAAGACCTAAAATTGCACATAACATTTAACGGAGGCAACATTTAATATTACATCTCTTTTCAATTGTTTTTCTCTTTTTTTGTCAAATTCCTCCACATATTTTAACACATACTTAACCACATTCTTAATCATATTCATTCCTTTATTGTTTTTGGATCATGTTCCACCTTGTTTTGTGCCTATTCTTAAGCATGTACATTACAATTCTACTCTTGAGTATTCACTTGATTTAGGGCCTGTTCTAATTGGCTGAACTGAACTTAACTTAACTTATTGGAACTGGATTGATCTGAACTGAATTGAATATTTTACGAGAGAAAGCACCACCTTTCTTGCGATCTTAACCTTGATCCTTCCATATATGCATATGCCAAATCCTCTTTCATGAAGGAACTTACTTATCATAGAAATAGCTTGATTAATAGGATTTAGCAGAACCATCAATAATTCAATATTATCATCCTTAGAATATTACTCAAGTAATTATCTTGTAATGATTTAGCATAATCCATGTAAAAAAAATAAAAAAATAAAATAATAAAAATAAAATAAAAATAAAATAAAATAATAAAAAAAAACCTACATCATATATATAGTTTTTATTTATTGATGAACACAATCATTATATAGTTAAAACTTAAAAGCTGCTGAATTGTGTAATAAAACTTCACAAATCTATCATTTGGTACTTTGGTTTCAAAATTAACAATCTAAAAATGTTCCAACATACACTAGGTTGAACTTTTTTATGGGCTTCAGCTTTAAGTTTGGACTTCCATAGGGCCCAATCAGAAGCTTAAATGATTGAGAGGGTGTCTGCGTGGCCCAAACTCCAATGGCCCAATGTAAGTAAAACTCATGATTCTTAGTTTCTCACATTCAAAACACTCACTAATTATAGAATTCAATTATAAATTTTCATGTATGTCAGTATGTGAGTAACTAAGTTTAACCCAAAAACAAAACAAAACACACACGAACAAAAAAAAACGAAAAACTAATACGAACTTTTAATACGTTGGAACATAATAGAGTTGTACTAAATTGAAATTGGTCCTACAAGGTTGCTATCCAGAGTTTATAATGTTAGAGGACTAACTCAACCAAAAGCTTAAGCTTATGGTTGAGGTTCATAAATATATTTTATACTCTATCACTCCCCTCACATGAAAGGCCATTTGGGCTTGAAATGTGGATGCAGGTATGTAACACAGGCCCGCCCATATCTGGTGTTAATTAATTCCACTTTGAAGGAGGGGTGGATGAGTTTCGAACCCATGACCTTTGTATCATGCTGGCTCTGATACCATGTTAGTGGATCAACTCAACCAAAAGCTTAAGCTTATAGTTAAGGCTCATGAATATATTTTATACTCTATCATATAACATGCATGTAAGTTTTGTACAATATCATTTTGGAACGCCAATCTCTCTCTCTTTTCATCTTCTCTCTCTATTAAAAAAAATTTCATGTGATATATGTATAATTGTTATAACTTTGTCTACCTTTAGTAAATTACATATATATCGAATTACGTAGTACATTGTATAAAATTAATTAACTACTTGGGACGAAACTAAAGATATTAATTGACAAATATACATGCACATTGAATGCCAAACAAAATACCGACTGGAAGATAGATCTTTAAGGGTCATATCGGGACAATAGGGTATCACTTCTATGGTTGAAATTTTAGGAACTCAATACTCATATAGTCATACTAGACAATATTCCTGTATAGCTTTTGCCCTATCTTTTTATCTTGATTGTGAAAAACTCCTTCATCATTACAATAGCTCAATAAATATGAGAGTTTGTCTAGAAAGGTTAACCTATATTCCAAAGGACTTAAAAAAAATTCATGATACATTGTTCATATGTGTTTCTAGATATATTTCTTAATTTTTCATCATATCATATCGATTCATACATTCCATTGAAAAAATCAAGATACATGTATATTATCAACCCTAAAATCTTACAAAGTACGTAGACCCTCAACCTAACTTACTCACGATATATAGGTTTATAGAGCACACACTACTTCACCCCAATCTAAAAACATATCTACCCATACACCATGTATCAAACAAAAACAAACTACTTAAAAATCTTATAATCTCTACTTTCATTCACATATTCAATCCACAACATAATCTAATGATTAAGGTTCGTTTGGCATCGCTGTGGTTTTCTGTTTTTTGTTTTCGAAAATCATATGATATATGTAATATAATGAATCAAAAGTTAGTCAAATTTATTAAAAACATGATAATTTTGAAAACTGACAACAAGAAATTTGGAAACACTTTTTTCTTGTTTCCTGTTTTTGGTTTTTTGTTTTCAAAAATCTGAAAACTGAAACAAAAAACGACGCCAAACAAACCCATATTAGATGTCTTTCAAATTGTTGCTACCTTTGTAAAAAGCCACTAATAAGTTCCAATAATTATTCCGATATAGACATGAATGTGTGATTTCCACCTTGACACACGAAATTGATGTTGCAATGATATACGATTATACATAGTTGTCATAGGGTATTTACTATTCATTTTATAGGCCCCTTACTACAATTATTTCCAAGTTCTTTGGTTAAGATACCTAAAGTTCTTCTTCTTTTTATTTTATTTAATTTTTTCCTTTGATATAAACGTTACATGAAATAAATCATTAGTTTCGTCTAAAAGTATGAAAACGATTAAAGCATCTTTTTTCATGAAAAAAAGCTTTAGGTCCTCTCAATGCTTTAATAATGCTTAAACTCTGTTTGGCTGCATTTGTGAGATTTTTTTAAAAAGTTTTATTTTGATTTTTTATTTTTTGGTGCGAAATTGTGGTTTGTTTGTGGACACGATGCAACTTCTTATATCTTGCTAGGTTTTATTACAGAGAAAAAGCCTAAATATATGTTATTTTCTGTTACTATGTCACATTCTCTATTTCTATTTTTATTACATGCAGTAGAATTGTTGACTTTAATAAAAGTTGTATCGTATCATGGTACTTTGATAGGTTACTAATTTAAACTTTTAAATCACATTCAACTATTTCAATAAAAAAATATTTCATCATGTGTTTTTCAACAATCATATATGTCGGTTATTGATAGAGCTCGAGGTTAATTTATACTCCATAATGTACGTCTACTATTTTTTTAGAGAGAATTATATATAAAAACGAATGATATACACAAAATTTAATTTCAAGTATTGAATATTATCCCAACCCTTTAAACTTGGGAACCAACTAATTTTTTTCCCGAGGAAGGCAACTAAAATACTTGATAAAACACCTACACACTTAATTTAATGGCCATGCAGCTCAAGGTATTCAATATTTGACCATTTTCCATGAAAATATATTTAGTCCGAACCTTAATTATTGCTAGCCCAATTCATCTTACAAAGTACCTACTCCTGCCGTGTATATAAATGTTTTGTTTTTAGTAATAAATAGATGATTATAGAATTTAATGGTCAAAGTTAACAATCTTTATTACACGATGTTTTTTTTTTTTTTTTTGAAAAACATGTGAAATTTTGAAGTTAATAAAGAAAATCAATTAGCTAGATTTTTCAGACAGACTGTTAAGTTTGAGTAGTAAGTTCAATTCAGATGAATTATTCGAATAACATAATTTTAGCTAAGCTATGTACAACAGTACAAGTAGTTTTCTATTTCAAATTATTGACGAGAAATCAAATACTAGTAAGAGAAATCTAAAAAACAAATCTTGGTAGTGGTAAGGTTTGTGCTTTAGAATCTATCTAGGTCTATTGTAGATGTTTGTACTAGTCTATTGGCCCAAAGGAACCCATCTTTTGGCAAAGTTGCTTTTAAAGTTTGAAAGTTATGCATTCACTTTGGCTCCCCACTTCTAAGTTCCAAGTAGTAATAGACTAATAGCAGCCTTCTAA